CAGTTACCCAGGAAAAGGCGTCCCCTCTCAAAAGAAACAGAAGTACTAATCAATCTGAATGACAGTGTATATATTTATTTGATTGAACTTGTTTCTTTTACATCAAATCTATATAAAGAACATGTAAGTACACGGCACCTCTGTTGTTTCCCCGACTCAGACTGCAAGGAATCTGGGTGTGACCCTAGATAACAAACTGTCCTTCACTGCAAACATCGCTGCTACAACCCGTTGCTGCAGATACACGCTTTACAACATCAGGAGGATACGTCCCCAGCTGACACAGAAAGCGACGCAGGTTCTGGTCCAGGCTCTCGTCATCTCACGCCTAGACTACTGCAACTCCCTCCTGGCTGGTCTACCTGCATGTGCCATCCGACCTCTACAGCTCACCCAGAATGCAGCGGCTCGTCTGGTCTTCAACCTTCCTAAATTTTCCCACACCACGCCGCTCCCTCCACTGGCTTCCGGTAACTGCTAGAATCCACTTCAAGACACTGGTACTAGCGTACCATGCTGCGAATGGATCTGGCCCTTCCTACATCCAGGACATGGTTAAACCGTACACCCCAGCACGTGCACTCCACTCTGCATCAGCCAAACGACTCGCTGCACCCGCACTGCGAAGGGGACCCAAGTTCCCATCAGCAAAAACACGTGGGTTTGCTGTCCTGGCTCCAAGATGGTGGAATGAGCTCCCCATTGAAATCAAGACAGCAGAAAGCTTAGACACCTTCCAGACTGAAAACTCATCTCTTTCGACTCCACTTCGAGCAATAGAACTATTAACAAAGCACTTATATACTAATAAAGGACTGGCTTATCTAAAGCCAGTTGAGTAGCACTTGAAATGTTTGGCTCTATGAAACCTGATGTACTTATATGATTCTGTTTTTTTTTTAACAACATGTTTATTTATTGACTTTTCATTCCTGTATAATCATTTTGCGCAAAGATGGCACTGTTTGTCACTTCATCCTTCTGGGATTTCATGAAGAACAGCTCCAATGCCTGTGTGTATGGGAACGCCTCTGGTGCTGGTCCATTAACTGTTTTTCACTGGGTAAATTGGAAACCTGTAATAAATATAATACTTTGCCCTTTCAATTGTTTTTTTCAAAATGTATTTGCCCAAGCTTAATCAGTCTGAGTTGCAGTGCCAGTCTCTGGTTTAATCAGTCCTTCTTCTTCCCCAGTGGCTCCCAGGACTGGTGTGGGCTCTTCTAAAGATGGTATATCAGACATCATGCTGTAGAGATCAAGTAGTGCGATGGATGACCTTTTTCTGGCGCGTTTATAACTGGCATGTGTAGCAGGGGAAGGTGCTGTAATTTTCTCGTGGCCCAATTTGACAGACGGTGCCCAGTCAGGATGATTTTTGTCAAAAAGTGCCACTTGTAGGTCAGTTATATCCTGGGTGAACTGTTAATTAATACAAATTTGACCTCTTTTGACAGGACAAGTCAGACTTTAGATATATTTAAAATGCTGGTGTCAAGACATTGGAACATGACAAATAATTGAGAAAACCAAAAGCCTCTGAAAAGGTGCCAGGGACTGTACAGCCTTTACTGTTTACACATAATCAAATGGCCAGTAGGGGGAGGAATTACTTTAAATTGCAGTTAAACGAAGCACTACAGGGGATTGACAGACTGGTGTGAAGATGACCAAGGGATGACTTTACTTTGTAGATACTCCACAATCTGATATGTCGATCGATGACAGACTCCAGGATTCCTATTTCCTTGTTAAGATCCATGTCTTAGTATGTGGGTTATATGTTCATTTTGAATGTTTGTATGTAAAACCCGACACTTACCTGACGTGAAATGATCCCCACAAACGCGAGTATAGTTGTGGTTGGATGGTTTGAGATCCTCCCGTCCGATCCTATTGAGCAATTTTTCCTGGCGACGCTTTGAAAGTTCATGTGTTGCTTCACCCTGGTGTGTTATAATAACCGCCGGCAGCCTGTAAAATGACTTCGGCCCCCTGTTTCGATCACCTCTGTTGCCGCAGCCAACAATGGCACAGCAGTTAACCATTGTACGTCCGGTAAAAAACAAACATTGAACAGGTATGACGTATTACGGTGTCTGTTTTGGTACTCCAGTATGGCCGTTGCGCTGACTTCACGGGTAACGTGACGTCATATGCAAAGCCTCTATTACCAATATGACCCTAAGTGGTTGAACACTATACACAATATTGAAAATCAGTTCATAGTCATCAGAAAATTAGCGGTGAATTAACTTTTTTAAATGTTTGAGTTAAAACAACCCATTTTCTTTCAGAAGCTTGTAATGTTCGGTCTTACAGTGTGCAAGAACACTGGTGATTCTGTGAAATCACTGGCTGATTAGTGGTTTTTCAAAATCACTTAGTTACTAGTGATTCAAAAGTTACAGAATTGTATAATTATATAAATACAGGTAAAATATAGTGATAAAATATAGGTTACATACCTTGTGTTGTGAGAAATGACAAAAAGATGATTCCAGAATGATTCAGAAGTTGGAAAATGAATAAAGCAAACTCTGGGTTAAAAATAACCCAGGCAGGTGTTCAACTGCAATTGAAGCCCTAATAACCCCTTTGACCCAGCATGAACAACCCACCAGTGTGTTTACAGTACCCAAATAACCCATAATTATGACCCAGCCAAATCAACCCAGCAATGTGTTTATAGAAATAACCCAGCATTTTTTAGAGTGTATTGTTGTACATTTTTAGGGTTGAATGTGAGATTTGTCTTCATTAACAAAAGCATGATGTGGACACACGGACCTGGCCCAGAGCTAGTGCAGAGCACACGGACCTGGCCCAGAGCTACTGGAGAGCACACGGACCTGGCCCAGAGCTACTGCAGAGCACACGGACCTGGCCCAGAGCTACTGCAGAGCAAACCACACGAACCTGGCCCAGAGCTTCTGCAGAGCACACGGACCTGGCCCAGAGCTACTGCAGAGCACACGGACCTCGCCCAGAGCTACTGCAGAGCACACGGACCTGGCCCAGAGCTAGTGCAGAGCACACGGACCTGGCCCAGAGCTACTGGAGAGCACACGGACCTGGCCCAGAGCTACTGCAGAGCAAACCACACGAACCTGGCCCAGAGCTTCTGCAGAGCACACGGACCTGGCCCAGAGCTACTGCAGAGCACACGGACCTGGCCCAGAGCTTCTGCAGAGCACACGGACCATGCCCAGAGCTACTGCAGAGCACACCACACGGACCTGGCCCAGAGCTTCTGCAGAGCACACGGACCTCGCCCAGAGCTTCTGCAGAGCACACCACACGGACCTGGCCCAGAGCTACTGCAGAGCACACGGACCTGGCCCAGAGCTACTGCAGAGCACACGGACCTGGCCCAGAGCTACTGCAGAGCACACCACACGGACCTGGCCCAGAGCTACTGCAGAGCACACGGACCTGGCCCAGAGCTACTGGAGAGCACACGGACCTGGCCCAGAGCTACTGCAGAGCACACGGACCTGGCCCAGAGCTACTGCAGAGCAAACCACACGAACCTGGCCCAGAGCTTCTGCAGAGCACACGGACCTGGCCCAGAGCTACTGCAGAGCACACGGACCTGGCCCAGAGCTAGTGCAGAGCACACGGACCTGGCCCAGAGCTACTGGAGAGCACACGGACCTGGCCCAGAGCTACTGCAGAGCACACGGACCTGGCCCAGAGCTTCTGCAGAGCACACGGACCATGCCCAGAGCTACTGCAGAGCACACCACACGGACCTGGCCCAGAGCTTCTGCAGAGCACACGGACCTCGCCCAGAGCTTCTGCAGAGCACACCACACGGACCTGGCCCAGAGCTACTGCAGAGCACACGGACCTGGCCCAGAGCTACTGCAGAGCACACCACACGGACCTGGCCCAGAGCTACTGCAGAGCACACGGACCTGGCCCAGAGCTACTGCAGAGCACACGGACCTGGCCCAGAGCTTCTGCAGAGCACACCACACGGACCTGGCCCAGAGCTTCTGCAGAGCACACCACACGGACCTGGCCCAGAGCTTCTGCAGAGCACACCACACGGACCTGGCCCAGAGCTACTGCAGAGTACACGGACCTGGCCCAGAGCTTCTGCAGAGCACACCACACGGACCTGGCCCAGAGCTACTGCAGAGCACACGGACCTGGCCCAGAGCTACTACAGAGCACACCACATGGACCTGGCCCAGAGCTACTGCAGAGCACACGGACCTGGCCCAGAGCTTCTGCAGAGCACACCACACGGACCTGGCCCAGAGCTTCTGCAGAGCACACCACACGGACCTGGCCCAGAGCTACTGCAGAGCACACGGACCTGGCCCAGAGCTACTACAGAGCACACCACATGGACCTGGCCCAGAGCTACTGCAGAGCACACGGACCTGGCCCAGAGCTTCTGCAGAGCACACGGACCTGGCCCAGAGCTTCTGCAGAGCACACCACACGGACCTGGCCCAGAGCTACTGCAGAGCACACGGACCTGGCCAGTGCGAGAACCCTGAAAGACAATCAGCAGATACAGGATATGTTACCTAAAAGTTATTATTATTTGTACGGCCTTTACAAAGACTCCTGGTGGTGGTCCGATGGAGGTTTCTACTCCTTCAGGTACTGGGCAGGACCTTGTAGGTTCTAAGATTTGTGTGGTTGCAGCTTTCGACAACTAAAATGCACAGCTACGATGAAACAAGTGATACGACTGCTGAAAAATAAGCAACCACTAATGTTGTGACTGATAAAGTCTGTTTTATTTTTCAAAGCTGTGACTGCTAAGCAAGTGATAAAACTGAGGGTGCTGAAAGAAAACTCTGATGTGGATCTGAACGACCCAGCGGTGCAGGAGGACATCTTGGTGCAGGTAAATCATGTTTTCTACTTTTAATGCAAACACAGAAAACAACCAGATTACTTTTCACAACAGAAATACGTGCCACCAAATGAACCAGGAAAATCCCATCTCCGTATTTGAATGATAATGATAAGGAGTTTTGTATCTCGGATAAAAGAGAACCTGAGGGACCAGGGACTGGATGACAACATCCAACTGAGCTGGAGGAAGCAGCCGGATGGACAAGTCTTCCAGAAGGAAAAGAGGGATGAGCTTGAATTGAATTGCTTTTGTCATCTTCCATCAGAGAAAAGTGTATTTGCTTCCTCTAAGTCCTTGGGTTACACAATACAGCTGCAAAAGAGCTGATTCATTCATTAGTTACAATTTTAAATAGAATATAGAAAATGTAATGCTTTTCCTTGTTATATATGGTTATGAAGTTCATATTTGTGTGCTTTCCTTTGTTGTAATGATTGGCTTGGCCTGTGGGAAATAATAACACATTACATTCTAAAAATGTATTTTTGTCTCACTGTTATGTCTCAGAATATTTTCAAATAACTTATAAAACAATCATTCTTATTCCCATTTTCAGGGATACAAAATGAGGGAATCAGCTTCCAAAATATGAAGATGTGATGCTTTACTCCATCAGATATGGTCATAAACTTGATGTTTTTTGGGATCAGATAAAGTTTTTCCCTGTATGTAAGAATACATTCAAATGATTTCCATAGAAAATAATTATATATATCCACCTTATGACCTTAATGGGGATAAAAGCTTGAATGCTCTACAGTTTTCCTTAAATTATTTATGACTATTTTACTGAAACATTTTCTGGTGAAAAAAAAAATGTTTGCTGTTTCCATCGTCCTAAATATGGTGATTTGGTGCTTTTTTGTCAGGTATGGTAATGGACTTCATTTCTTGTGGTGTTCTTTTCCCCCTTTAGTCAAGAAAATCTATATGAACATCAAAACATTGACATCATGAGTAGGCTACAAAGGTACATGTACAGAGTAAACTAAAGAAAATAAAGAAATGTTAAGAAAATAGTGATAAAAAAACCCGGTAACATTTCAAGTAAAATATGTATTACATTACATGACATGTCCCTTATTAGACGCTTTTATCCAAGGCAATCCCCACAGGAGCAATTTGGCACATCCTTATCAAATGATTTATAGTTTTGATTCCCTATTTTATTTTTTTAACAGTGGTGCCATATTGTTGTATTTCTAAGTGGACAACATTTGGTTTGGTTTTCTTCTTGTAAATGAAATGTGAAATATTCCCACAAATAGAATGTGTTATTTGAACCAATATTTGTATACAATCCATCACCTTTAAAAGTTTATTAAAATGTCCTCATCCTGAAGTCGTATCATTTGTCAAAATCAGACCAAAACAATTAAAAGTACATAGGCTATAGTGATAGTATGATAGAATAAAAGACACATAGTGGAAAAGTGGAAACAAACACTATACAAAATATTTGTCCTCAGAAAAACAGTCCCGGAGCAGCTTCCGGTGCGGATGCTGGGTTCTGCTCGTTCTTCGGTTCTGCTGCGAGCTGTGCCTGTCGGATATGGTCGGATAAGGGACTGAAGGTAACTCCTCTAACCGATGAACATCTACTGTATGCGACAACTTCACTAGACTGAGTGATACTAGGCTTGTTTGAGACAAGCGAGACCTGCGCAGTTGCGATCAACGTCTTGCTAGTGCGTTGCATGATGGTTAGTCATTTTGTCCGACTTGCTCTGGAGGCTCGCCTACATGAGACGTTGAAATCTCGCGGGACAAAGACGCCCGCAGCCTTGAGAGCGAGGCGTGGCGAGGCGTGGCGAGGCGGCGCAGTTCCTCTCCACGGGCTGCGGAAGCGAAATGCTTGATGGGAAACGACTCGCTGGTATCTCGAGCTGAGCGCTCATTGGTGGTTTTTACCACGTGCTGCTGATGAAACTCTCCAATTGGCTCAGCAAAAGTTTGTTGTTGTTTTGTGTCAGTTTTACGTCGCCACTTCCATTCACATTTTTCATCATTGTTCCACAATGTTTATCATCATGACATTAATATCTATATATTTTATACTATACTTGCACTGCTTACCGTTTTCATACTTTATATATCTTAGCACATTCATACACACTGTTCATACTGCTCACAGGCTGATATCTAGTGTATTCATACCCCTCACTGTTTATTCATCATTCAATTCATTCTATATTTTATTCTGTAGATTGTGTACATTACTTTTCACTTCACTGCTTGTTGCACCTGGTTAGAAGCTAAAGTGCATTTCGTTGTCTCAGTACCTGTAATATGTGCAATAACAATAAAGTTGAATCTAATCTTGAGCAGGAACAAATGTATTTACTTAGTACATATCTGACATTAACGATTAAACACATGTGTGCATTCTTTATAAATACAAACCGAGTCAAACCGACTCCGGAGGTGGCGGTATGCACCTTAAAGTTCTTTGCAATCCGCCAAAAAACCGAGAGAAGAAGAAGACGAAGCCGACTCCGAGCTGTCCGACTTCAGGCGAGCTTTTTGAGACCTCCCCCGGCTGCGATCGGCTATTCTCGTCTACTTTCGAGGCGAGCCGCAACGCGTCTCAAACAAGCCTACTGTCTGGAGGCAGCAGACAGCTATATTTCCCTAAACCGGAAACGGACCCGTTTCGTTGCCGCACCGCTTGACGCCATTTTCAAAACGGCTAACCTTTATTGCGCAGAGCAAAGTTGTTCAGCAAAGGAGTTTAAATAAAGAAACGGATCGTTTGAATGGGTTAAGGTAAAGACTACACTGACTGCCGGCTGCGTGTTGGAGGCGCTCAGCCTTTATTTGGAGAATGCTGCTCATGCATCCCTATGTATTTCACTAACCTTACATTCATAAGCTTTTCGAGTTCGACATTACATTAGCATCTGGAGCTAAAGCTAGGGACGGATAGCCTGCTAAGTAGCTAATCTGGTAAACATTGACCGGAAAGCCATGTGAACATCAGGCTCAGAAACTAGAGCCTGGTTAGCAAATGTTCACCACTCTTTAAGTATTCAAAGGCACAGCAATCTATATAATATATACATTTTTTTCATACACCAACATCTATTCAAATGTCAAATAAATATGGGATAAATACCGAAAAGTTTATACTTGTTATACTACTTTATACTTCTACTGTAGGCCTACTACATTTTGGAAGCCAATTTAATCATTTTTACTCCATTACACATATTTTACAGATTTATTTTCTGGTTACTTTATAAATTCAGATTTTGACGCACAACACTTTTAAATATGATTTTCTGGTATAGATTAATCCATCCAACATTAGATTGAATACACTCAGACCATGAGAGGGTTAACAGAGAATTAATTGGCAGCAAATAGTTTGTTCAAAAATATTTCACAGTTCTAGCTTCTTAAACGTGAAGAGCTTTTGCTTGAAACTATTAAAATATTTTTCCTGCAATAAGTACTTATACTCCTAATATTTTAAGTACATTTTACTCATCATACTCAAATACTTCTACTTTAGTAACATTCTCAATGCAGTTCTTTTAGTTGAAATTGAAGTTTTTTTACAGTGTCGTATTAGTACTTTTACTCAAGTAAAGCATCTAAATATTTTCCCACCACTGTATTTGGGACTTGTTATGAATATAGTGGTCATTTTTGTTCTAATTCCGCATACATCCAAAACACACAACATGCACAGTACTTACTCGATACACTCTGTACGGTGTAAGTGTGTGCCATTCCACCAGTAGATGCAAATTATATTCTCATTATTCTGGCTTCAAATACTGAGTGTTTTGAAGTATTTTGCTGAAAATAATAATAATAATAAGTTGAATTTCTGAATTGTTCTCTCTTCATAGAAAAGAGAGCGGAACATCAGCAAAATGATGGAGCTACCCAACTACAGCAGCCAGCTGATGCAGCAGCTGTGGGCCCTGAGGAGGGAGGGCCACCTATGTGACTGCACCATCCTGGTGGGGGACAGCCCCCACCGCGCCCATAAACTGGTACTGGCCGCCTCCAGCATGCTCTTCAGGTAGTGTGAGCATGGGCTTTGAAACATGATCTGCAAAGAGTGGTTAGCAGGTGTTTAGTGGCTCGGAATTCATATTCATTTTTCAAGTCCAAACATAGTCTCAAGCTTATACATAGATCTTTCTAGATTATTCATAAAATGGCAGATTGACAAAATAAATGATTATATTGTCAAAGTGACAAGCCAGTCCTTAAATGCTAAGTGCACAATTAATATCTTAACTGAACAATATGCAGGTCTCTCAGGATTTACAATATTAACACTCATCACTGGCCGCATTAAATACCATGGGCCCACAGATGTCCCACATATTTGTGTTTTCTGAAAAGGTAACTACTAAGGTGTAATGTTTTTAAGAAAAAAGGTTTATTATGATGAGAAAAAAGTCTCATCAACGTTGCGTGGAAGTCGGAAATAGTACCGAAGGAGTGGCAGACCGGGGTGGTGGTCCCCCTTTTCAAAAAGGGGGATCAGAGGCAGGGTTTCCGCTAGGATGGCTTCTCGCCGGTCAAAAGTCCGGACAGAATTTATTTTACTGGACAAATTCGAAACTTACAGGTCATGTTTCAATAATAATAATAAGAGTTGTGTAGCAGAGTTTCCGTTAGCAGATAATTACCGGACTAAGACCGGATATGCTGATGTTTAAAACTCAGTTAATGGGAGTCATTTTTATATTGCTTCAGTTTATAATCGTAACAGATCGAAAAGTTCAGATTCATTTTTCAATAAATGATTCCACAAACAACAAACAACATCATTATTAAATGCAAACAAACTACTTGTAGTAGATGAAGTACATTATTCAAGAGTTTGAATAATAACACGGGAGAAACGGATCCTCTCTTTTCCTCTCCCTCCCTCTCTCTCCTGACAGCCCATCAGTTTCTCATGAAGCTCGCTAAACAGTGGGCGGGGCTTCAGGTGATTATGCAGCAGCTGATCTGATCTCTCTCTCGCGTTCGGTTATACTTCACTCGCGTTTATGTCCATATCGATCAGATCCAGCTCTCCTGATCTGCCTTTATAGAGAGCACAGATCAAACTATTAAGAGTGACTATTGGCCGATAATGACCGGCGGCCGATCGATCGGAGCATCCCTAATTATTACCGGACATTTTGACCGGCAGGTTTTGAATTAACCGGTTTTGAATTAATTTTACCAGCTAATTACCGGCTAACGGAAACCCTTATCAGAGGGTGTGTGCCAATTATAGAGGCATCACACTACTCAGCCTCCCTGGGAAAGTTTACTCTAGTCTAAGGTACTCGAAAGGAGGGTCAGGCCGATTGTCGAACCTCAGATTGAGGAGGAACAATGTGGATTCCGTCCTGGTCGTGGAACGACGGATCAGCTTTTTACTCTCGCAAGGATCCTGGAGGGGGCCTGGGAGTACGCTTATCCGGTCTACATGTGTTTTGTAGACTTGGAGAAGGCGTATGACCGGGTTCCCAGGTGGGAGGTGCTGCATGAGTATGGGGTGAAGGGGTCTCTTCTCAGCGCCATCCAATCTCTGTACTCCCAAAGCGAGAGCTTTGTCTGGGTCAACGGCAGTAAGTCGGACCCATTTTCGGTGAGGGTTGGCCTCCGCCAGGGCTGCGCTTTGTCACCAATCCTGTTTGTAATATACATGGATGGATTTCGAGGCGTAGTCGTGGGGGAGGGGGTCTGCAGTTCGGTGGACTAAGGATTGCACCACTGCTTTTTGCAGATGATGTGGTTCTAATGGCTTCATCGGTCTGCGACCTTCAGCACTCACTGGATCGGTTCGCAACCGAGTGTGAAGCGGCTGGGATGAGGATCAGCACCTCCAAATCTGAGGCCATGGTTCTCAGCAGGAAACCGATGGACTGTCCACTCCAAGTAGGGAATGAGTCCTTACCCCAAGTAAAGGAGTTCAAGTATCTCGGGGTCTTGTTCTCGAGTTAGGGAACAATGGAGCGTGAGATGGGCCGGAGAATCGGAGCAGCGGGAGCGGTATTGCAGTCGCTTTACCACACCGCTGTGACGAAAAGGGAGCTGAGCCAGAAGGCAAAGCTCTCTGTCTTCCGGGCCATTTTCGTTCCTACCCTCACCTATGGTCATGAAGGATGAGTCATGACCGAAAGAACGAGATCGCGGATACAAGCGGTCGAGATGGGTTTTCTCCGCAGGGTGGCTGGTGTCTCCCTTAGGGATAAGGTGAGAAGTTTGAAAGGAGCCAGTTGAGGTGGTTCGGGCACCTAGTAAGGATGCCACCTGGGCGCCTCCCTAGGGAGGTGTTCCAGGCACGTCCAGCTGGGAAGAGACCAAGCGGCAGACCTAGGACCAGGTGGAGGGATTATATCTCTTCGCTGGCCTGGGAGCGCCTTGGGATCCCCCAGTCAGAGCTGGTTGATGTCGCCAGGGAAAAGAAAGTTTGGGGCTCTCTGCTGGAACTGCTACCTCCGCGACCCGACCACGGATAAGTGGGAGAAGATGGATGGATGGATAGTCAGAAGATGTCATGCAAAATATCACTGCTGTCAGATCAAAAAGGTGGATTCATGTGCAGCCAAATGGGATTTATTCAATACTTCTACTCAAGAATGATATGATGATCTCCGTGCTACGGGTGCTCCGTGCATGCATGCAGTGACATGTAATATCCAAGGATTAGAGACTGTTGGATGCTGCTGTTTTGAGCATTGCAATATATTTATTTTCATTATGTTATTTATGATTATTTTTAGGCTCAGCAAAGATTTGTTGTCAGTTTGTATGGGTGTTGCTATCTGCTTTTTTTTAGCGTGGTTCTACAATCAGAGAGTTACAAGGGTCTGTAAATGCAATGAAAACAATTGGCCACAGCAAATCATTTATATACAGGGCGACTGCGAGGGAGTGCGGTCGTCTTTCAACCAGAAGGTTGTGGGTTCGATCCCAGCCCATGCAAGGATACATGTCGATGTATCCTTGGGCAAGATACTTAACTCTGAGTTGCTCCCGATGGCATGGCCAACGGTGTGTGAATGTGTGTGAATGTTAGGTCCTAGAGTAAGGTACACTGCTCTGTGTGAATGGGTGTGAATGGGTGAATGACTTGTAGTATGTAAAGCGCTTTGAGGGGTCTTAAAGACTGGATAAAGCGCTATATAAGTACAGTCCATATACCATTTATATTAAAAATGAAATGTTTACTTTTGAATACTTCATTACAAAGGATGTATTGAATAATTTAAGTGATATATGTGTACACATAAATCATTAGTCAAAACAGGGCTACATTTGATTGAATTATAAAAGGTATATTTCGCAGATAAACCTATTAACCCCGCCCCCCAAAAAATGGCTCTTTTGAACGGCTCTCGCAAAGGAACGGAGCCATAAGATCCGGCTCCCTGCAAAGAGCCATAATTCCCATCACTACCTGTCACACGTACGAGAGGGGACCCAGAATCAGACTCGGAATCAGCTGGTGAGCGTAACATTTGTTTATTAGAAAAGGGGAGCTGGGAGTGGAGGTTGGTTATGGCGGCAGTGGGAAACTGCTGGTCTTGGGAGTGTGGCAGGCTGCAGGCTTTCATAAGGTTCATCCCAATTGATTATTTAGCCTCCTCCTTTCCCTCACTCGCGTCCCTTCCTTTCGTCTTACCTCCGCCCCCTAAGACGCGAGCGAGACACACGAGGAAGAGACGCGAGGACAGAGGAGTCCTCAGGTATCAGTTGGGATGTCCTCGTTCAGTCCAGCGTCACCATAAACAACGCCCTTTACTTCTTAGGCCTGTACTACTAAGCCGGATTTTCGCTTAGCGAGCTAACTTCAGGGAAAACTCCGGTCCTACGACGCTGGTTCTCTTTTTAGCGGGCTAGATCTCCATGGTAATTTATGCTGAATGGCTAACCTGCTCCGGAGCAGGTTAGGTTCCAGGATAAGAGATCAACTCAGTGAAAGCACCGCCTGCTGACCAATCAGAGCTCAGTGTGCGGAGTTTAGTGATCAAGTCATATTACAGGAGAAAGGAAATACAGAGAAACTGCCGTTGCAGGAAAGACGGCCGGCAAAAATCACCGACTGTGTGAACGTGAAAATTAATAGAATATCACCTCCCATCTTCAGAGCAATCTGACTATTATAACATTAGCGTTAAGAACTTAAATATCTGCCACAACATAAGTAACCGGATCAAAGTAACATTACGTACAGTCCGCGGCACTGTGAGTGCAGACGTCGATGTGTGTCCCATTATCATTCATATCACATCACATCTACGTCTTCCGCGTAGTCTACACTGGTGTATCCTCACTCTCGTCTCCTCTGGAAGCGTCCTCCCTCCTCTCTCCTCGGCTGCAGTCGAGAGAAAGAGAGAGAGAGACACACAGAAGAAACAAACACTTACAAACACTAACAGGGCTTTCAGGGACGGGCAGTGACACTACCATGTTTCTCTGGTCATTTACCATATCCATGATAAATATAGCATTTTAAGTCAAAGGGGTGATGAAGGCAAGATGACTTGTAGAGAGATGTTGTGGACCTAAATGAGTTTGTAGTGTAGTTTCCAGCATTGTGAACCCTGAAATGTTGAGTACCCCAAAGTTTTATGTTATAAATGTATAGTACGGGTCCCCAGACGTAGCAACTGCTGGATACTAACCTGCATATGTTGGGTCATTTGAACAATTAGCATAAATTGCATTAATGAAAATGAATGTCATTATAGCCTATGTAAACAATAGTAAAAAAAAATGGCTTGGCTGATTTGGACAATCTTTGAGTGATTTTGGAGGTTATTGATGATGCTGAATCCATTTCTGAGCATAGCAGTTTTAACCTGAAAGTGGCCATATTTGTACTCTTGTGGACTGATTTTGACTACCATCTCTAGTGTTGCCACCATTGGATATAGTGAGCACGAGATGACAATTATGTTCTCTACTGTGGACAATTTGTACTTAAACAAATAGGCAATCTGTCCAATCCAACTGATCCAGAGCCAGAAATGGATTCAGCATCCTCAATAAGCCCCAAAATCACAAAGAAATGGTCTGTTTTCCACATAGGCTACAATGGTAATTCATGCTAATAAACACAACTTATTCTAATTGTGCAAATTGCCCAACATATGCAGGCAAGCAAAACCCACAGTTTCTTTGTGCTGGAGACCCGTACTATACATTCTAACATAAAACTTTGGGGTACTCAACATTTCCGGGTTCACAATAAGTGGGTCTAGGATCTGGCATATAGACTATTGTGGGATTTTCAACATAAATAAAGTTATCTTCTCCGTCAGGTCTCTCCTGGAAGGCTCCGACACCATCTCCATCGACACGGCCATGGTGTCCTCACAGGAATTCGGCTGCCTGCTGGACATGGTCTACACCGGCAAGCTGCCTCTGGGCAAACACAACGTGAGCCGCATCGTGGCGGCCGCTGACAGCTTGCAGATGTTCGACGTGGCTGTCGGCTTCAAAAACATCCTCACTAGTCTGGTAAACCAGCAAACTCCGGTCCATTCTACACACACCTCCAGTCTCCCGGTGATAAACCAAGTCCAGAACATGAACACTGATGGTTCTGCTTCACCCAGCAAGGAGGACACGACTTCAGACAAGACGGAGAGAGAGAGTGAGAGTGAAGCTGCAGAGGAGCCGGCGTGTAAAAGAAGCTGTGTGCAGAACTCAGGTCCGTGTCCGGCATGAATATACTGAGATACTTATTCATAATATCATATCAGTCGATACAACTACTGTCAGAGCCATTTTACTTTAAGATTATTATTGTTTGAATATCTGAAAATTAGAGGTGGGATGTTGTGAAGTACAAATACTTTGTTACTGAACTGAAGTAGATTTGACTGGTATCAGTACTTTACTCCACTATTCCGTTTTTTTTTTTACTCCTTACATTTTGAACACAAATACCTGTACTTTCTATTTCTTACATTTTAAAAACAGGCTTTCATTTAAATCTGCATTTGGTGACGTTATCATTATTATTTAGAATCATTGCGTACCTATTTCAACCTAAGATCACAGAAAAAATACAATTGGTGTATCCAGTATTTCCTGGTCTTCTCTCAAGAAGAAGGACCAATAAGAACTCAGCTCGAGGTATTTCCCATCATCCTTTGAGCTGTGCCGACGGCGGTAGGCAGCAGGAAGCAGCTAACCTTATCTCAAACGGTGCCAGTAGCCTACCAAGCTATTTCAACGGAGCAAGGCAAGAAAAATGGCTAACATTAGGGAAGAGGAAGAGGCAGGAGAAGTTTTCGATTTAGACATTCCTAATCAGGGCCGGCCCTAGACTTTTGGGGGCCCTAAGCGAGCTTTGGCTTGGGGGCCCCCCTCACTCTAGCACGTTCTCACTACACACAACACGGAACCAACTTTTGTCTTATGATGTTAGCATAAGCACACATATTGTATAAATAAGCATGTAAACACCGTGGACCTAACCTCCTCTAGTGCGGCTTTCACACCAGCGCTTTTCCCTTTCTAGCTCCGAGCGGGAGCTTTTCTGGTTCAGCTCCGGTTTCCCTTTTCTGCTCCCGCTCTGTTCACACCGCCCAGAGCCCGACTGGGTGCTGCCGCTGCTGCGTCATGACGTCACCGTTTACATAGCTGATTTGCTCCCCAACGGCGTTACGGCGCTCACAACAACAACAACTGCGTCGGGTCGATGATCGTGTTGCTTTTAATCACACGAAGCCAGATTAAATTAAATAACGACTTCTCCAACCTTATGCTTTTCTCCAGAGTGCCGTGGTTCATTGTTTATTAATGTGTTTCTGCGGCATTTACCGACCGCTGCAGTGTTTGCTGCTCTTCCACAGGAGTTTATTCTCCTCCGTTAGCTCCCGGTTAGCTCACACTGCAGCGGCCGCTCTAAAGTATTCACTGTCCGACTCACACAAGCAGCTGATACATATCCCCAGTTCCCCTTAGCCTAAGTGAATGTGTGTCAGTCTGAATTGACGCTGTTTGGCATCACAACACTGTTATGAAAGTTTCTCTGGTATAAAATGGGTGATGTTAGCATAGCAACCGAAGCTAAACTGACTACTTGCTATTGCTATCCTATTGTGGCATAAACCGTTTTCTACAGGCACATTTTACCGGCGTATTTTTATTATGATTCTACTTGTGATAGTCGGACACGACAACCTGTGCAGCCCATGTATTGATTCCATCCGATAGCTGCTACAATACAAACAAAACGTCTGCCTCTCTCCACAATGATCAATAACAGTGAACAGATGGTCAAAGTAAGGTACAAATAAACAGAATCACACGAAGCCTGGTTAGTGTTGCCTGACTTTATAAAGTGTGTTTATAAGCACTACTGCTTGTAGGCAGGCATGACAGTCGACCCATGTTCAGGGGAGGTGGGTTTAGTTTCCTGCACGCCTCGACGTAAGAGAGACGTAAGCGACGCCACCTCTTAGCTCCGAAGCTCTTGCCTCTAGACCGACAATTTTTTGGAGCTGGAAGTGAACCGGATTCCGGAGCTAAGAGCCGGCGCCGCTGCGGTGTGAACAGGAAAAAACCGGCGCTTTTCAGGCTCCAGCTCCGAGCCGGAGCTGAAAAAGCGCTGGTGTGAAAGGGGCATAGGGGGGTCCGGGGGCATGCTCCCCCGAGAAGATTTGTTTTTTAAATATTGAAGTTAAAAGCATCAATCTGGTGCACTTTTACCTCATTCACACCAGCGCAACTCCGGTTCAAGCTCCGTGCTAGAGCTTTTCAGGTTCAGAACCGTTTCTTCGGTTTAGCTCCGGCTCTTTTCACACCTCCCAGAGTCCGACTGGTGCTGTGTCATTGCGTCATCGTTTGCGTCATGACGTAACCGTTTGCGTGCCTGCTTCATAAAGCCAAACCGCACGGAAACCCCTCACAGCTGACACCGACAACAACAACAATAATGGCCGATTGTGCTCCAGCATCCTCTGTACCTCTTCGGAAGACCAGATTCCCAGTAGGTAGCTGGTCTCTTCAGTGGACCACTGCTGCTTGTTAAGTTTCTCTATCGTTGTGTACAAACTGGATAAAACGTGGCCTTTTTGTTGTTGTTCAGGAGTTGATCCCTCCCCTGCCCCCGCCTCGACGTAAGCGTGACGTATGCGGTGCTTTTGCTCTAGCCGGACACTTTTTTCGATACTTGAAACGAACCAGATTCCTGAGCTAAGAGGCTGCTCCGCTGCGGTGTGAACAGGAAAACCCGGTGCTTTTCAAGCTCCAGGTCCGAACCGGCCCTGAAACACCGTTGGTGTGAATGAGGTATTTGAGAGCAAAATTAAGAGATCTATGGATACATCTCTCAACACCCATATGAAACAGAACTGTAAACAGATGTTTCTTTATGGATATTTTACAAATCACTTTAACTGTATTCTTGTTTTGTCATATAGTATTTCATAACTGTTTTTCATTTATTCTCTCTGGCTGTCCATCTCATAATGTTCACATAGAAATTAGCTGTCAATACTATAGTAATATCATTCAGAAGAATTATAATTTCTTGCAAAAATCTGTCACAAAAAGAGGTTGCACATTTAAATGCAGGTGTTGTTATGGCAACGTCAGTGGCCAAACAGCCACATTTACTGCTGCAAATATGTTCAAACATGCTGTTGACACGTAAAGCAGTGGCAACTATGCCACCATTTCAGCTGGCTTTTTCTCAGAAATACTGTCACATAACATCCATATATTTCAGTGCTAGGTTGATGCTTAGCTAAGATAACTATGAAACACTTGAACTGACAGGACTCCGGATCAACTGTGTAAGGTAGCTTCTAGCTTCATGTCGAACAGTAAGTCAACATTTCCCAGAGAGCTTTCTTTGAAATCACCAGGTAACGCTAAAAAACATTACATTTAGATTGTATGACAAAGTGTTTATTTAATATATCTGGCTAGCTATAGCTACTTGCTAACGGTTTAGCTTACCCCCGTGATTCAAAGTAACGTCAACGTAGCTGTAATTTATGCTTTGCTTACATGTTTGCATAACTTGGAAGTTTACTTACATTTACATACCTTGTTTACCTGGCTCAAGTGGTGGCTCTGGGGTTGTTGTGTGAGCCACCACTTGAGAATTATCGTATTTTTTAAGAAAATGTTTTCTTATTTCCATCTTCAAAAACTCTGAGTCCGACTGACAGTTTAAACATTGTCACAGCTCACAGGATAGGTACCTGTCAGCCAATAAGACAGATGTTTATTTCCATTCAACTCACTGGTTGGTCTGGTGTCTTGCCTCTGTTGCATTCACTGCACACGGGAAATTACAATCCTGCCGTGTCATGATGAGGTTCAGGTAAAGCACCGTTAATGTATTATATTATTGACTCAATAATATAATACATGACTTTGAGAGTAGGCACTCTAGGCATATTAACACAATTAATTAAACATACTTATCACGGCGACGGTGTACTGACATATGTTTTGTTTTGCTAGGTGGCCCCTTAGTGGCTGCGGGGCCCTAAGCGGTCGCTTATGTCGCTTAATGGGTCGGGCCGGCTCTGTTCCTAATCACCCATAGCCAGGGGCTTTTTTTTTTTTAATGTATATTTTCTGGTACTCGGTTTGCCAAAAACCGCAGGATTTTGTTTCTGTAATGTGAGATTGTGCAGACACCCTTATGTAAAGTAGAGATGTAACTGTTTATTGCCTTTTATTTTTATATAAATATGGTGTTAGTGCAAACATTGCACTATAACTTAAGCTGAAGCTAACAGTAATAACTATAAGATCTATCTGAAATAAATAAGTGTACTGAAACAAATACCAATAACTGTATTGCATTGTTTTCTTATGCGCAATTACTTCATACTGTCTAGTTCTCTTTTTCGTCCTACATTTATTGTGCCCCCCTCAGAAAATAACTGGCCCCCCCAGTCAAATTGGTCTAGAACCGCCACTGCCCTATGCCATATAAGAGGGAGATGTTCTATAAAACAGTTGGTAGTTATAGCTACTTTTGACTTAAGTACATCTCAAAGCCCATACTTCTTTGCCTGTACTTGAGTAAAGAAGTTTACTCAGTACTTTACCGGAGTATTTTCAAACACGAGTACTTCTACTTGAGTGTATGATGTCTGTACTTTTTGCCATCCCTGCTGCAAATATCTTAAGAATAAATAACTTACTTTTTTTGTTTTGGTGAATAACACTTGGATTTAAAGAATGCTAATTTACTTAAGTACATTTAAGTCTCAATAAATATGCGCTTGTAAGGCAGGATATGACATGCGTGTGTCTCAGTAAACATAAAATCTGTAGCTCTGTTTTTCTTCATGGGTTAGTGTGTGGTAGAACAACGGGACACAGCGGAGGATGGTTAGACAGGGACGCGGTAAAGTCTTCTGACCGCAATCTTTTTGTTTGATTGGATTATTCAGAGAACTCCTTTCAGTTTATGTTGATCGTTTATGTTTATATGCCACTTGGATTTCTTATTAAATATGATCTGATGCAATGCTACAACAATCTCCGAGTCAGAACCCACAACTGCAACAAAGGACAGTGTTTTTTTATTTTAGAAACTGACTAAAACTCCACAACAACTTCCCTGAAATAAACAACAATGCTTACGACTTGTCATTTCTGTGTACACAGAGCCTGAAGAAGCCAAACCCTCAGTAGTGGAAGAAAACAACCCGACAGCAGCGCAGCAGTCTAATAGGCCTGCAGCTGGAGTTCTGGAACATTCCTCTGAGCTGGTGGAGCTCCTCAGCAACATGCCGTCTGTCCTGGAGCTGCTGAGCCAGGCAGCACAGGGAGGCCTGGCTGAGCAGGAGAGACAGGTAACCATGTAAACTGTTTATCACCAAAACACTGTGTGGATCCTTGAGGTCCAACCAATGTCTGTGAATACATCCTGTCTGTGTTACTAGACATCAGAAACTCCACAGGGAACCTTAAAGGTCACCTGTCAAGAAAAATGCACTTTTTGATGTCTTTTATACATAAATGTGTCAGGAGACTCAAAAAGTGTCAGGAAATACAAACCCCTCTCTTTTCCTCCTTACCCACATCTCTAAAAACAGGGGTATGACAGAGCTGATCCAGATTTGTTGCGGGCATGACGACATTACTCAAATGTGGGCTGGCTTTACGTTGAACTCCTGGCTACGTTCCGCCCCAACCTATCTGAATCCCCTCCCCCAGCTGTGTGTCTGTGTATTCAGCAGCAGCGCCGGCCCTTGGCGTAGGCAGTATAGGCGAATGCTAAGGGACATCAACCTATGGGGGGCATCGAACATTTTTATTTAAACAAAAAATTAAATATATTAAAATATATATTTTATTTAAATTTCATAACAAAACAATTTCCCGATTTTGGATCAACAAAGCACATCCTATTATCTTATCTTAACAGAACTACGCCTATATTGCATACAGCGCCCATAAACTGTGGCGCAAACCCCCCCCCCTCCCCCTCAAATCAGGTAAGTTGAAAAGCCCCAGCCTGCGGAAGGGGGAGGAGCGAGGGGGCGGGTCAAGTGTAATTTTCATGTGGAAGTAGATTACAGCCCTCTCTTCACTTGATTAGGACAGCTCCCTCTGCTGTAATTAATGTAAATTACAGTAAAAACCAGAGGTTTATGTGAAATTGTTCTTTTTTTTATGTGCAATTATAGTTTTTAATTTTGTATTGGTGTTAATTTAAAATAGGGGGGGGGGGGGCAGCTAAAATATTTCAGCAGGATGTCTACGAGAGGAACTTGGAGTGAAGTTGTTAGCAAGCATCGCTAACACTCTCTTTCAGAAATAATGCTTGATGTGGTTTGGAATATAATGTGGCGTTAAATCACGGCAGCGTTTAGCTGAGTTTCTGCTGGTACACACAGCCTTCTCTTCACAGAGCTCACTGCTTGCATGTGGACGCTCCAAAGGGGCGTGGCCAGCAGCAGCTCCAAAGGGGCGTAGCCAGCAACAGCTCCAAAGAGGCGTGGCCAGCAGCAGCTCCACTGTGAAAAGCGGCTAATACTGTTTCATGTACATATACTTCCTATTTTCAAATTAAAAGGCTATCAGGGAAGGGGGTTTGTCCTGTTTGAGCTCCTCGAAGCCTTTATTTTAAACAATCTGTGCATGAAGCAATAGCCGCTTTCACACCAAATACTTTGCCGTACTTAGTTCCCAGCACTTAGTTCCCCTATGGAACTAAAGAGCAGATCGCGTTCACATCAGAATAAGTCCCTGAGGGAAGATTACGCAAATGAAGCATGGATGTATAATAAGAACTGGATACAGCGTGGGAGGCGCTCGTTCTTTCCTACGAGTGCTGCTCATTGGCGCAGGAAGACAAAATGGCCCAACTTTTGAGAGAGCGAAACGTCACAGATTACCCATCATGCCTGGCTGTCAGAGCAGAAGAACCCGTATGTGCGCTCACAGCATGCGCCCCTTAAGCCCCGCCCCCCGAGCTCCTACTCTCGGCTCAGTAGAATGAATGGAGAGAGAAAATAAATCTATATTCGGCATTTAGTGCATTTTACAACTTTAAGGACCAAATGATTCTAATAAGGGCTATAAAATAGTTCATACTGGGTAGTTTATTTAGTTAAAAAAAATTATCCACCAATTTACAGACGTCTCTTTCCCAATGTTAGTCAATGGGAAAAAGTTGTTTTGGGCCCGGTGATGTCACGGACTGATACGGAAATTGCAGTTTGGACACAATGAATATTGGCACAGAGTCTCTAGCAGGGACTGAAAAGGGGGGGAAAGTTCTCATGAACTAAGTTCTCTTTTTGGTGTGAACGCAAAATCCCAGGAACTATCGGAACTAAAAGGGAAAAGTACGGGGAAAAGTACTCCGGTGTGAAAGCGCCTATTGGGGTTTATTTTAGAATCTTGACAAAGAATAAAAATAAAAATAGGAGCATTTAAAAAGTATTTGTTGATGTAAACGGTTCTTCTTCTGTTGGAGAAGAGAAAGTGTTCTCAGCAGACTGAATATGACACGCCTCTGATGTTGTACTGATGCAATTAGTGTCAATTAACAAGCCAGGGTACACCAATGTTATTTTATTGATATATATATAACTGTTTCTGATGGAATAATGGAGTGTGTGCTCCTGCAGCTGGTGTGTGAGTGCTGTGAGGAGGCAGACCCCTACCCGGCGCTGGAGAAGCTGCTGAGCCTAGTGAGGGAGGAGCAGCTGAGCGAGACGGTGCTCCTCACCCTGCTCCTCACCCTGCAGCAACAAGCCCCCTCCTCCTTCCCCTCCCCCCTGCTCCCCCTGCTGGAGGAGGCTCAGAGCAGGCTCACTGCAGGCGGACAACTGTGTGAGTGGATATCGTTGTCAATAAAAAACAAGGGCTGTACAAATACAAATAAATATATATATATCTAATTGGGATTATTGTGAATGTTTTTGCAATTGCAATAATGATTTGCGTGATCATTTTTCATAATTATTGTTACAATCATTGTGATGTAGTTTCTACAGGGATATGTTTTGTTTAATCTCTGCAGCACAGCACTGTTTAATTCAACATTGATTTCTCAACCCTTTTCCATCTTCTACAGTTGACTCAGGAAAGCAGAACGGCAGCGGAAGTGAAGAAAAGCGGGAGGACGAGGACAACAAAGAAGAGTCAGAAGAGGATGAGAAGGTCATTGATGCTCCAACAGACTCCTCCTCCCCCTCCAAGCCCTACTCCTGCCGCTGGTGTAAGAGGGGCTTTGCCTTCAAGTGTCGGATGCTGGCCCATGTGAAGCGCTGCCCCTCCTCTCAGGAGGGGGAGCAGCAGTGCCCGCAGTGCCCCAAGAAGCTGGCCAACCAGAGGGCCCTGCAGCAGCACCGCGCCGAGGCCCACCGCAGCACCACCCGCCTCAAGAAGAAGGTGTCATGTGACCTCTGCGGGAGAAACTTCGCCCACCCGTCAGGTGAGCATTGTCTCTTTTAATATTTTTGTTTTTATTAAGGTGATACAATACCAAAACATTTAGGACAAAACATAATGAAACCCCAAAAAACAAAAACAGCAGTGTGTGTGTTTGCACATTACTTTTTTTAAAGTAACTAGTAATGTGTAATGCATTACTTTTTTATACTTTCCCAACAATGGCATTGTGACAAGTGACAACTGTGACAACTGACTATGGGGTGGGGGGGGCCTAGTGGAGCAATCCCATCCATCCTCACTGTCAGCTGGGACTCACTGCCTTGTTGTCAGTTATCTAACACAAAGGCCTCACTCATGAGATCCTCGGCGTTTGTTACAGTGTTTGCCTTTGCTCTTTTTAATCAAGGTTTATTTCATATCAGCAAAACAATGACTCTGCCTGGATATCATTATCAACCCTTCATCGCTTTTCAAGCAGCTGTTTTTGGAAAACGACTTGTTGATATAAGCAATGCCTTTTGACTGAGCTCTTCGAAAAGTTCCTCACAGACACTGTATTCTAAAGACAGTTCTCATTCTTGAACCTTTTCTCTTTTGAAGGGAACAGGAAATGCAAGTTTCAGCAGCAAAGACTGGAGGAGGTACTCTTGTTAGAAACCCATCTCTTCCAAAACCATTTCCATGTGCAGACTCAAAGGAAATCCATAGCCTATCAATATTAAGTGCACAACAAACCCATAATGCAACACTTTCTAAGTGTAATGAAACATTTCAATGAGAATATCTGCTGTTGTCAGGTAGCTTGATTTCAATACAACCTCTACTTATGTCCTTTTCAGAAAAGAACAGTCATGAAGGTGGGCTTATACAGTAATGGTAAATTAGTCTTTACTTCAAAATAAATGAATGTCTAACTTTACAAACTGATTTTTAATAAGTTTAGGGTCATGGGTCTGGCTTTAGCGGGTCTTACAGTTTTTAGATTAGGAGAGCACTTCTCATGTGTTGGTTCTGTATACTGGGAAGTTGATCTGTCTGAAAGTGATCAGCTGATTAACAGACATGCTACAAAACAATTAGAATGAAGTGAAAACAAACTGTGAAAGCTGTAAATCAACCTCATGCTGTGATGAAGAAGACTTGAAACTAGAGATTGAGATCATACACTCGTTAGAAAATGTTTATGGAGGTTATAAATGTTGCTGTTCGGGTCCACAAGTTGTTCACTCATCATATTGTTGTTATTTTTTTTTCCTTTATGTACTTGATTGTAATGTTTCTGCTGCCATCCAGGCATGCTTTACCACAAGCGCACCGAGCACTTTGAAGAGAAACCGTTTGCTTGTGAGGACTGCGGCGCAAAGTTTGGCGCCAACTCTTCTCTGAAGAATCACATGAGGCTGCACACAGGAGAGAAACCGTACTGCTGCAAACACTGCCACATGAGCTTCAGTGTGGCAGCTGCACTGGCATACCACACCAAGAAGAAGCACTCTGAGGGTAACACACACACACTCACTCACACACACACACACACACACACACACACACACACACACACACACACACACACACACACAACACACACACACACACACCCACACACACAGAACACACACACATACACACCACACAGACTCACTCACACGAAACACACACACAAACACAAACCCACCAGCACACACACAACACACACACACA